AGGCAGGCAGGCAGGCAGGCAGGCAGGCAGGCAGGCAGGCAGGCAGGCAGGCAGGCAGGCAGCATTTTCAAGTCTCATTACAGGAGCAGGGAGTAACTCATTTTATGCCAATATATTTTACTGCCTGGTTGAGGATAACTCAGCCCTAATGAAGAGACCCTAGTCATCTACCCCAAAGGAAGTTAAGCTTAGGCCAAAAGAACCCAGTCATGCATAGGATTAAACTAACTCCGCCCAGTGAGTCATGTCCTGGGAATAATTAAATCCAATTAAGTTGACCCATTTTCCATCTTTAGGCCTGTGCAAATTTAAAAAAAAAAAAAGCTGGAGAGAAAGATTAAGTGAAAATGTAAGCCTCTCCTCTCTATTACAGAATGTGGATTGCTTGCAGAGGCCAAGCCTTGTCTTCTGTTGCCTCCCTGACAATGGGGAAAAGTCTAGTGATGTCCTTAAGCTTGTGCGTTTTTGGAAAAAGTGGATTATATCTCCAAATAATTGCTTTTGACCCAAGGAGTGTGCTGGCTGCATCCAGAACCACCATAAAGCAATTTGACCGGGTTAGTGGATGGATTAAGTGTGTTGTGAGAACAGGACCATTGGGCAATTACTGTATGCATTTAATGTATCTGTACTGCTGGAATTTATTTTTTTAAAAAATAGCTAGAGTGGACTCAGGGCCAGAAGACATCATGTGACCATGAGAGGAAGAGCCATTTTTACCTACCGCTAAAACTGCAAAGCCTTATATATTGAAACAGGTTTCAGAGCACCCCCAAGGCCAAATTCCAGGTTTGCAAGAGTCCTGTAAAGCGCCTTCTGTGTTATGTGTCAAGGTGCAAATTTAGACCACAGGAACATCCATGTAAATATGCATTGCAACTCTCCCTACCCGATGTCTAGATATGTAGCATTTCTCTTTAAACTGGACAGTCTGCAAGAGATTGGCATCTGCCCAGTCTCTTTCTTAGTGTTATCTGCTTTCTCGCTATTTTGAAAACATCCTGTTTTTGAAAAGCTAGCCATTCCATCAAAAGACTGTCCTTGTAAAGCAGGACACAGTGCCAAGACAGACAGAGCAGTTGCTAAATGTCTGGGGCATAGGAGCTTTCCCGGAGAGAAGGGCACTAAAATATTCTGCACTTCTTGGGATCTAAAGAGAGAATGATAAACCACATTAGAAAAAATGCAAGGAAAAAAGGGTGTCAAAAAAAGTCGGGGTGGGAGGAGAGGATCCTCTTTAGATAAGTACCAGATGGATATATTGCCAATCAGGTGGAAACAAACTGCAGACAGGCTGAGAGCCAACACTTTTAGCAAACAAATCTTAAAAAGTACAAAGCTTCTCTCAAGGCAGACTGGAGAGAAAAATGCAGACAGAGCATCAAATTAATTGCACTGCAAGAGACAGTAGCGGGTTGAGCCACTTCTAAAGCTAAACTACCTGAATGAGGCGGCAATTAAAATGAGAGAACCACTTTGCATATTTTCAATAAATGTATTTTGAACAGTACACTTTCCAAGAGAGGTCTAACTTTTGAAAACACTCATTCTAAGGCAGAAAAAGACTTGCACCACTTTGGCTTGGTAGCAAAGGTAATTTAATTACGCTTAGGAATGAGTGACTAAGTAGATATAACTTTGCTTAAGTCTCATAAACCTCAGTGGGAACTAAGTGCATCTTTAGCTGAATTCACAGGCCTCATTAAGCCTAAATGTGTTTGGTTGCTGGCTTAACATTCTGTGTGAATGCAGGCACCTTGTTTGTAAACATTATTTCGCATTTTATGGGTTCTATGAACCCAAATGGTTGTATTTTACTCTGGAAAACCAGGTTAAGAAAGCTGTGACTCACTGTATTGTAGAAGGATGGTCTACTTGAACCCAGATCTAAATAAAGTTTTTATTCTCAAACTGGGCAAGAAAGGTGGTCCCCACATATGACCCACATAAAAAGGGGGTGGGCCTTCAATCTTGGGGCCACACCCACCAATTTTACTTCTTTTTTTTTAACCTCTCCTGCAGACACCCCTATATTCAGCTTTGAAGAACTGGTCCATCTGATAGGTTCTTTTTTATATGTTCCCCTAAAGTTCTGTTGAGCAACATTTAAGATTATCAACCAAAAAAAAAGAGGTGGACCAAAGCTGTGGGGAAAAAAGTTCAAATTGTCTTTCTTAAAAAAAAAACACAACAATGGTATCTGTGTTCTGGGACTTAGTTAAATCAGAGGTCAATGCTGGAGACACAAACCCTTTACTTATTCCTTCCTGTGCTAACTGCTCAAATTTCAGGACTGCCAGATTAGTTCAATGCCCAATTTCTACTTCACTTAAAAATAAAATAGAAGTGAATTGCAATATAAAACAAGTCTCTACAAAGTTTTCTTCTATATACACTGTGATGCATGTAAGATGAGGTTATAACAACAGATTACCAATCCCTTTTCAAAGCCACTTTTTCCATGAATCCTTTGGCAAAAGGCTGCTGTTCTCATGGCCTGGGCAGACAAACTTTAGCACCTGTACAAAAAAATTAGCATGTCTTGGTTCCTATTTGGCTTGCCAATCATTCTCACTCTATCTTTTCTGCCTTTTTTTCCCCTCTGTTTCAAGTCTTAGATTATGGGTTTTATCAGGATAATGCTGCAATAACAATACTAAATAGTAATGATGTCATGAGTGATGTTGCAATCTACGTGGTTGTGTTGACTAGGAATAGCAACCCCCATATATATGACTATGTGTGAGTGTGTGTGTGTTTGTGTAGAGAGACAGACAGACAGACATTAAATCTGTTAATTCTGGGGATGACTCTGTTCCTCATTTTTGTGTACATATCAAGTTCAGTTTCTTGAATGTGAAGGGTGGTGTTTTGTTTTTTTTAAGTGTGCTTATTATGGGCAAACTTTTCCAAACAAACTGTTTTTAGTTTTGCTTAATGAGGAACGGATGGACAGAGAGATAGGTATCCTATCTATTACAACCAAAGGTGCTTTCCAAAACAGTGCAATAATATAAAGGCCATAAATTAGTCATTACAAAGTGCACATATTAGCACAATACACATAAATCTTGAGTAAAGAAAATGAGTATACGTACACATGCACAGACAGACATATACATACCCACACAAAACACACACTCTAAAACAAGACAGACCAAAGAACAATGATGTTGTGATAAGCTGGTGGTGCAATAGCTAAGTCACAAAGGCAGGCT